CCCCCGCCCTCTCTCTCTCTCTCTCTCTCTCTCCATCTAAAATCTTTATTCAATCTTGTAACATCTGAATAATAATAATAATAACAAAAACCGGTGGTGGTGGTGATGAAGGACGATTGGATAAGGGCGGCTTTGACAGACGACACGGTGGTGGTGGACCTATTGTTCCGTCTCCGGAAGTCGCCTTCATATGAACCATTAAAGCCTTCTTTGCCGCCTCAAAAGTGGGGGCTCCGACAAGCGCGGTCCAAGCAGGTGACGATGAGGAAGGAGTCAGCAACCACTACGAGCACGAGATTTAGTCCTACCACTCCTCTGGCTTCGTGGAGTGGCGGCGCTACCTCACCCAGCGACGGCGGCTATGACGAGTCGAGCCGACTCCCTTCCGATCCATCCTCCTCCATCAGATCCAAGGTTTGTAGTCTCATTTTCGTGACGATTGTCGCAAATTTGTTGTCGGCGTAGATCTCTATGTGTTCCATTTCTTCTTCCCGTTAACCTTTGCACCCCTTTCATAATGACGTTAGTTACGTCTTTTCCATCGCCTCTATCCGTTTCTTTACCAACGTTGACAATTTCAAGAGATTTTGCTCGTTTTTCATCACTTATAAGTTTTTTCGATGGTCACATGGGATTTTTGGCCGTCCGATCTATAAAATCTTCGTGTTTTTCTAGGTCGATTGAATTTCCATTGAAGTTTGGGCCGTATTTTACCAAATTCAGCTCCTCCTTGGTCGAAATGAAAATTTTTTTTACCTGATTTCGCTGTCCTCACCAATTTACAGTTTTGAACTCACTCAGATTTCTAGATTTTTTTTGTCTATATTTTTCCTCTCTTAGTGATTTTTAACCATTAAATCTCATTTTCAGAAACTTTCCATCTACTCCTCGCTTTTCCGCCGTGAATGGTGGACTTGAATTTGCCTTTCTGTTTTGCGATTGTAGCATGAGGAAATATATCAATTATAATTTTAAAACGGTGTTTAGACCGATTATTAAAAAAGAAAAATTCCGATTTCTTCTTGCCTCTTTCTTCTCCGTAACTGGTAACTTCCAATATTATCGATGAGTGTACTTTTTTTCTTTTGAAACGACAGATCCACTAGCTATTTTTTCTGTCTTGTGAANCAATATTATCGTTGAGTGTACTTTTTTTCTTTTGAAACGCCAGATCCACTAGCTATTTTTTCTGTCTTGTGAATGTCGAAAATGCCCCTTCTGCATAGTCAAAATTCACGACGTGCTTGATGGCTGGTTTGTTGGGTCCCACAGGAACTTGGGAGGGTTCTGGTTTGGTGAAGTGGGCGCACCTTTCATTTCATTATTTGCGTGCTTATGGTGGGTTTACGTCTCTGTGTTTTGTGGGTTCGTAATGGTCAGTAAATTAATTTGTCTTATTTTCTTGATTCTTGGCGACTACTTTGTTCTGCTTTATGTCCTTTTGAGCATGTTTGGCTTTGCTCTTCGTGCTGTTACTTTTTTTGGATTCTTTTTACTTTTTAGATCATCCTTCTAATTTTGATCTCTATTTGGGTTAGAGCTATTAATTTATAGAATAAAGTTATTTGTACAAAAAG